TTGCCTTAGACTTAGCCCTTGTGGGTGGAGATGCTCTAATTAGCACGTACAGCCCCTTTGGGTTTTTGTCTTCCTTTTTTAATAAATAAGATAAAAAGAAAAACAGAGCAGTTGATTAAGGTAGGTAGTATCTCGATATCACACATTGAAACAAAAATCTATATGATCAATGGCTCAGATTGAACCAAGGTTAAGATGCTAATGATGCCTTTGCTTTCATTGTTGTTCAGGAGAGCACACATTTATTGATGTGGTGGACAGTTCAAACCCTAAGAAGGGAGAGGTGAGGGTGATTATAGAACTCAACTTCAGAGCAGAGTTCGAGATGGCCAGAGCAAGCAATGAATACAATAATCTGGTGAACCGGCTTCCTGAAGTGTTTGTTGGCAAAGTTGAGAGACTACAAAACCTAATTAAAATCTTATGCTCAGCTGCAAAGAAATGCATGAAGGAGAAGAAAATGCACATGGGGCCATGGAGGAAGCAGAAGTACATGCAAGCTAAATGGCTCAGTCCCTGCAAAAGAACTACATCAACACCACTTTTGTCAGTGGGAAACTCTGGCCGGTTGCGGCCAAAGCCGAAGGAATCCATGCTAACGGTAGATTTGCTGGAGATGCTGCCTAACAGTTATTGCATCACAGCAGTTGAAGTTGTGTGATTTTAAGCAAGTTTTTTGGTTCATCTTCTTGCTTTGATCGTTTTGAAATAGTCGAGTTTCTAATACTTCTGAGCTTAGTGTATGTATACTATATGTGTAAAGGAAAGAAGATCATCTAATTAGTAATAATGGATATGAAATCTGTTGTTGCCCACTGTAATACTGCAAAATAACAGTTCTGCTTCAGGGAAAGAAAAAAAAAGGTTCAAGAGGGAGCAATTGTAATTGTTTTAGCTTTTTACACATTTTCTTGCTGATGGGGGCACAAATTTGAACATAATAACTTCTTCAATCAAGAACATGGGGAGTTTTTGTTTCTAGGGTAACATGCTCTGTTTGATGAAATTTCATTTTATTACTAATTAAGACTTGCTTGGTAGATGGAACATGATTTTCACACAGATGTATGAGCAGCCTAACACAGTTGCATATAGGACACATTAAACATCCAACATCACTAATCATAATCAGCATCATCATCAGCATCATAGGTAGATTCATGAACATTTTCTTGATTCGGAACGTGCGATTTATAATTTGCTGGCCTTCCATCACCTCCCTCTTTAACATTTTCATAATCCTGCCTCAATTTGAAGTCATTTTCAGAGATGTCTGATTCATGCTCGATGGTGAGAGGGTTTTGTCCTTTTGCTTCACCAGCATGAATTATTATTGCCTTGGACTTTTTCCTTGAACTAGGAGCATGCTGCCAACAGATGAAGAACAAGCAATTATTTGTTTGATAAAAGGCAAAAGAAAGTTTGGTTTCAAACTGGAAATTCAAGTGTTTAAATTTTGAATTTGAAAGAATTCACTGCAAAGTAGAAGACCCTTAAACAAATTAGTTTTGTGTTTAAGTTTATAATCATGTCATTAGAACACAAAATGCCAGTTCTATTTAAGATTTACCGCTTTCCGCAACAACAAAATTCCTCAGACTAACCTTCTTGATCTTGAGCAGCATAGCAGAATTGGCACCGACAGCTCGTTTTGACCAGAGTCCTAATTTCAAGAAAAACAGTACATAGAGAGAAATAAACAGTTTGAGAACAGTTTTGAAGATCTGCATTTATATTTGTATGTTCAGAAAATTAATTGATGTGCTTAATTTTAAGGCATACCCTCGTTTAAAGGACCTTCAAATGACTCTGAATTGTCACTTGAAACCGATTTTAAAGAAGAACCTGCCCTCCTGGCCTGCAAACGAAGTGAAAAAGCAAAAACATCAGTTCCCACGGTTGGTACGTTCTTAGATAACCAGGAGATGGATTATGGATATGGGGTCCAAAAGAGGGATATGGTACCTTTCTTCCGGAGCTTTTGACCAAAGTAGGTTCACTAGTACTGGCATCTCGATAGATAAGCACTTTTCCACAACCACTGCATGATCTGAAGTAAACCAAAAAGAGAAGAAGCAAAAGCAGTGATATGGGTTTGTTTATGACTGCTTCTAAAAGGGCCACACGCACATGTACAAGCGTTTGGCATAAAATTTATTAAGTGTATCTAGAGAAACAATTTTTCATAAAAAAGCACTTTTGAGGAAACTATCTCAATTATGTAAAGTAGCAAACGTAATAAGGCGTTGCTTACACAAACTGAAGATCATCTCTCATTGGAGGAACAAGAGCTCCGCAATGTGAACACCACAACATTCTTTTTCTGAAGCGTTCACTTTACTCAATCTGTCTGGAAAAAAGAAAAAAAAGCCAATTAGTATATTGACTTAGTTAGTAACATCTTTTTCTTTGTTTTGCACAAATAGAGAATGGGGATCGAGCACATAACATCGGGTCTAATTGATAAACAGAGTACACAATCATAGGTGCAAATACACAGCAAATCCAATGCATACAATCTCCAGCTCAGCAATATTCTAGAAGAGAAGGAACTTACTAGTCATATATCCATCCTACACCTGTCATCATCTCCATATTCTTTGTAACCAATTCTATTCCAGATTATTCTTTTCAAGTGTATATAAACAGTGGTACTCTCACTGTACAAGTATCAATGAAATATACAATTCCAACCTTTCTTTTACTCTGTTCTTAATTCTTCACATGGTATCAGCCGCCTAAAACCCTACGGTACTATCCTATGGCCTCCTCTGACTCTCTACCTCTTCCTTCCTCTTCTTCCTCCTCTTCTTCTCTCTCT